GGTGGGGGGTGGAAAAAGGCCCTCAGAAGTCCCCCTCTCCCACATTTACAGGGGGGCAACTGAGCACTACGTGACTGGAGTGCAGATGAAGGACCAGGGAGGAAGACTACTTGAACTTCAGCAGSAGGGAGCTCATGGAAAACGGTTCAGGACTCAAGGTTGGATGCAAGCTGGAAAAGTGCGCATGCATTGAGCAAAAGGACAAATCTTGCTTTGCATTTCATTTCTGATCCACGTTGGACAAATAAATCAAGATGAATGAATGAAGCGTGTCTGTCTGTCTGAGCTGCGTCAGGATGAGCTGTAAATATTGTATTCAGGCTTCATTTCAACTCAGCAGACAATAGCTGATGGTGTGCGTGTACAGAATGCAGTGCTGGGCTTCAGGCTGCTGCCAAATCCACTCAGAGACCCAAAAAAGCACTCTGTATCCCACCCCCAGGTTTTCTCTGTCTAAACTTCATTCACTATGAAGCGCGCCTAGTTGAAGGAGGCTCTCGGCAACCCTGTCCCCACCTGCATGGCTGAAAACTTTCTAATGAAATCCCTACAAACTTTTTGACAAATATTGTTTCTCCGTAGGCATCCAGAGGTTTACTATCAAACCACTTCGCATCGTTACTGAGAAGAAAACTACAGGTACGTTTCTGTCTTTTTAAATTATGTGTGGATAATTTAATGAGAGAGACTGTCATTGTTAAACGCACGCAGGTGTAATTTGCTGTTTTATTTGACTGGATAATGGAAGCGTCGCTGGTTTTTGATGAATATATTTTCTTGCTGTTTAGAACATGGAGCCCAGTTCCACAGAGGGAGGATCTGAGGAGAAGGTTGTTAAAAGTCCTGTAAGTGCTTAAATTAATTAATTTAATCATAATTTTTCTGTTGGACTGGATGCTTTAGCTGTTTTTCTTTTAATATTATATTGTAGTAGCGCTGAATCAAATAAAATCAAAACTTAAAGAGCAACTTGATAGTTTGTCGTGGCGCTCTGAAGTGTCCCCTGCTTCCTCTGGGATCTGTGTGTCCTGGCCAGCAGACGCTGAGCGTCAGTGAGTAACATCTGGATGTCGGGTTGACCTTCCAGCTCTGCTGTCTGCAGCTGCTGCTCCAGGCGGGAGGGTCCGCTCAGCGGAGGTCAGATCTCCCAACGTGTGCCACAAGGTCACCGTCTGGTTTATAATTTCCAGAAACGGGGGACCGGACCATCAGTGTGATGTTCATTAACATGCAGAGCACTGCCTCGCAGTTTATTTTATCGGTCATACTCGGCTCAGGAGGCATGCCATTTCTTTTTGTTGAACTTTTTACTTGCTGTGATTTGAAATCATAAGAGGTTGACTGCAGGACTCGGCCGTTTCATGGACATGTGTGGTGAGGGCTTTTTCTCTTCTTGTTTTCAACAGCCGGCCAAAGTGATACTGAAACATGGCCAGGAGCTGGAGGAAGAGCAGGACCAGCTGGCCGAGCATCAGCCCCTCGAGCAGGAAGACCTGAACTTTGAAAGGTGGAAGCGCAGGCCCATTCCCAGGAGGACCCTCCACCAGAAAATAGCCGACTTGAAGAAATACCTGTGGAATGCAGAGACCAACGAATTCATGGGGCGCTCTGGCAAGAGCTGGAGTGAGTTCACGAAGCGAGACATGTTCTGTGCTGTCGGGGTGCTGGAACATTTGGATTGATGTGCTTTTCTGTTTTAATATGTCCAGTAACAGCAGTTATTATTGCGTACTTTATGGTTGACTCGTTTTAAACAAGCTCAAGAGACGACATGGGGGGTTTGAGTGTTCTTTTCTCAAAGAGCCCCTCGTGGATAGTCTGGGGGGTGAGAAATGTCTCTGCAGTCACTGTGCTGTGTGTGTGTGTGTGTCAGTGTCCTCAGCCTCGATGTTTACATAGGTGCACGGACGATTCAGAGAGTCCCGACAAAAACAGACTGCCTGGGGACGCGTCCTCAGCAGGAGGACAGTGTTCCAGGCCTCGCATTGGCCAGGAATCACATTCCTCCACATCTTACCATGCTCTCCACAGCCTCGTTCCCAAAGCCTCGACGACCTCGTGGCTAAACTTAAAATGTTTATGACAGCTTAGTTGCAGTAAAACACGTAGACACACTTTTTTTTTTAAAAAGCTCTCTGCCAAAACCGAACACGTTGACGCAGATTTTGTTGAGTCACCGATGATGGAGCAACCTTTTGGTATTCTAGAGTAGTTGCCATGCGATGTAGTTGTGCCCCCCCCCACCCGCCCTCAGCACCGTGCCACACAAAGGCTAACATGATCCAACCGAGTGCAGACACTAAATGGATTTAGAAAACGTGTGTGTTGCGCATAAATTGGAATCTTGCTTCTCCCGGGCTAAGAGCTGATTTCAGCTACATAACCGGTGTGCACGCTCGTGGAGGAGCGGGGGGGTAGGCCCATGTGTCCCCTGAAGAAAAGTCCTGAGTCGAAGTCTGTGCTGCGTGTCCTGTGAGTCGAGTGTGTAAGAGGGGACACAATGCCAGAGTGGGGGTGATGGGGGCTCCTTGGAGCTGGCTGGGCCTCTATGGCTGCTAAAGACCTTCACTACGATGGCAACCGGAGGTTCACTGTGTTCCTGAGTGAAAGGACAGCCGGGAGAATTCTCACTGAGCGCAAACAGAAAGGCCTTTGTGGCTCTGGGGACGCAAGGCTGGCCGCAGTTAGTCCTCTGTGAAACTGCCCGCACAGCAAAAGCCATTTAATTTAGGAGTTACAAAATACAGTGTTAATTAAAAATTACAGAACAATACCGGTTCTCAGAGTTTGGTTCTTATATTAGCTCACTACAGTCTAGTTTAAACAAAGTCTTTTCAGAGGTTTTTGCTGGTCTAGACATGAGGGGGGTGGCATTACTTTTCACAAACACTGGTTCAGGATTTCTGTTCGAATTAATCTTTTCAGGGATGTGTTGCATTGAGATAATCCATGTGGTTTAAAAAAAATTCAAAATGAATGATTTATAACTCATTTTCCTTGTTTTCCTCAGGCCTCATCCTGCTGTTCTACGCTGGACTTTATGTGTTCCTTGCAGCCATGTTTGGGGGCTGTTTGTTTTGCCTCATGTGGTCTATTAGTCCCTATCATCCCACCTATAATGACAGAGTGATGCCACCAGGTAAATAAAACCCCAAACTCCCAATTGCAACCCGTCCATCTCTCTTCTGCGTCTCCTCGAGTCTCTGCACAGTTGACTGTCTCTTGGTCTCCACTGGCAGGTATGACGATGGCTCCGCACCTAGAAGGCCACGAGATCGCTTTCAACGCATCCGACCGCAAATCCTGGAAGAAGTACGCCAGGTCTATGGACGAGCTTTTAAGACGTGAGTCGTGCATCTGCGTTAATGTTGAGAAGTGAGGTTGTTGAGTTTGTTGGAAAAGAAGAAGACATCTTTTGTGTTTCCCGCAGTGCATGCTGGGAAGGGAAGCCTTTTTTAGTGGGCAGAAAGTAGCCATTCAGTACAGTTTTTTTTCACACCCAGCTTTTGTCAAGCTTCTTTAACCAGAGGCCTGAGCCTGGCAGGACTTTGCTGCTGCAAAGGTTTATTTATGCCCCCCTCCTCCTCCTTTCTCAACCACCCCTTGTCTCTGCTCTCCACTTTTCAGCCTATAATGACGGTGCCCAGGACAGGAAGAATATTCGCTGCACACACGACACATACTTCATGCAGGATAACCTGGAGGAGAGCGCAGAGAGGAAAGCGTGCCAGTTTAAGCGGTCTTGGCTGCAGGACTGTTCGGGGCTGCACGACCCCCACTATGGCTACTCTCAGGGAAGGCCATGCATCCTGCTGCGAATGAACCGGGTAAGAAACATATTCCATCTGAGCACAAGCAGAACATAAAAGATCAAGTTTTTTATGTAATTTTTTTTACAGCGACACCTTGTGGTCACTCTAGGAAGAACAGGTTACTCTATTTTAGTGCACCGTTTGTCTTGATGAATATTTTTGACTAGTTGTTTTGTGCATTTCCTTATGAAAAAACACAAACTTTTACAAAACATATATATAAACAAATGTGAAATTTTTGATTCTCATGAGGGTTATTGTGAAGCTAAGCTTAGAGCAAAAAATCAGTTTTTAAATTTAAAATGAACACTGAAGTTATTGTATCAAACTGCATTTATGCTGTTTCGTTTGTTGTTTTCTAACATTTTTATTTTATTTATTTTGTTTTAACTCTCACAGATCCTTGGTTACTTACCTGGGCAGGGAAAACCAATAAATGTGACTTGTGGAGTTAAGGTACAGTTAACATTAAAACATTTCATTGTGTATCAATAATAGGAAATGCATTCAAATCTACACACATAGCAAAATTTGTCTGGCCCAGTACTGGCCCACACAAGGCACTAACACTCAGTCGAGATACTACAAAGAATGGCAGCCCTTTGGTGGCCCAGATTTGGTTTGCCAGAGGTGGTCCATATATGGGGCGAGCATCACTTAAATCAAACCCCAACTGGGCCATTTGTGACATTGATGGATTTAGGCCACATAAACCAAAACACAACTGGGCCATTTGTGTCAGAAACAGATCTGGACCACAGAAACCAAACCACACTGGGCCATTTGTGTTATAAACAGATCTGGGCCACAGAAACCAAACCACACTTGGCCAGTTGTGGCATTAACAAATTTGGGCCACATAAACCAAAACACAACCGGGCCATTTGTGTCATAAACAGATCTGAACCACAGAAACCAAACCACACTGGGCCAGTTGTGGCATTAACAAATTTGGGCCACATAAACCAAAACACAACCGGGCCATTTGTGTTATAAACAGATCTGGGCCACAGAAACCAAACCACACTGGGCCATTTGTGGCATTAACAAATTTGGGCCACATAAACCAAAACACAACTGGGCCATTTGTGTTATAAACAGATCTGGRCCACAGAAACCAAACCACACTGGGCCAGTTGGGCATTAACAAATATGGGCCAAATAAATCAAACCACAACAGGGCCAGTTGTGTCACTGACAGATTTGAGCCAATTAAACTAAATCACAACCAGGCCATYTGTGACATTGATGGATTTGGGCCACATAAACCTAAACACAACTGGGCCAGTTGCATCACTGACAGATTTGGGCCACATTAACCAAACCATAATTGGGCCAGTTGCGGCTTGCCATCCTAAAAGCAGTGCCATCTTTGCCATACTTGTCTCTTTAGTGGGTAGCATGTAAGTGGGAACAAGTCCAGGTAACAATGCTGTTTTTCCTCTCAGAAAGGACCACCTGAGGCATTAGGAGAAATCCAGTTCTTCCCTAAAAGTATTTTTGACATGAAGTATTATCCATACTATGGGAAGCTCAGACATGTGAGTAATGATTTATGACAGACTGCTGTGGCAGGATAGTTGACTATAACACGTGTCAGCACTCTGTTCTGTCTGCTCGGTCTCAGGTAAACTACTCTTCGCCTGTCGTGGCTGTGCGTTTCGCAGGAGTGCAGTATGACACTCACATTCAGGTGCAATGCAAACTGAACGGAAAAGGAATCATTAACGACTCGCCCACTGACCGCTACCTGGGCAGCGTGACCTTCTCTTTGGATGTTGGAGCGTAAGACGTTGCTGCCAGCGAGATGCTTCAAAAAAAAATGAGAAAATATGTATAAGAAAAGAGTTATTTTGAGTCCTTATTTTTCATGAATTATGTTATTTTTTCTTTTCCTCATATTTCTCTTTAATATCAACGTCTTCTCACGTGAAACAGAATCCTCAAGAAGTAGATTTATTTTGTGTGGCGTGCACCCAGCACGCACATCAAGAAGTGCTGAGCAGAAGATAAGTGCATAATTACAATTCAGTTCCTCATATGTATTTTTTAATGATTAGAGAAATTAATCAAACTAAATTAAACTCTGCCCACTAGTTATCTCATGGCTATGCAAATTCAATCATGACCTTAAACAGATAATATCAAATTAGAGATGTCGCCGTGTTAGATTTCGGATTTGCTTGCATACCTTTGTGTGACAAAGTACTAATTTTGTTTAGAAATATATTTTTCAAACATGTTGTAAGAATTCAAAGAACTATCATGTAAACACTGAAAACAAGACTTGTACTGTACTTATACAGTAAAAAAAAAGACATAATAAAGAAAACGACATGATTACAATATTAATGTTGAAAAGAGCTGTTTTTGACTTTTATAATGCTTTTCTTTGGTTTGGAAGATGAAACATTACTCAGATTTTATTAGTAAAACACTGCAGAGGTATTTTTAGGTTTTTAAACATAATCCTGCAAGACGTTGTGTGGACCAATGTTGAAGGATGAGTTGTAACATTAGACTTTATTTGATGACTGTAAAAATACTGTAGGCTGTTTAGTAAATTTTTAAACTAAAAATTTAAAAATATATGGGCGGGGCCATTTTATTTACACACAAAGCATTCTGGGTAAATGATGATGTGGATAGGTCATCGGCGCTGCTTCATGGAAGAAGAACCTCAGCTTAGCCTGTTAGCTTGAACGTTAGCCTCAATGCTATCACCATATGTATGTATTAGCTCAGTGCTACACATTCTCCTCTCGTCACTGAGGTCCTCCATCCACATGACAGAGAGGGGAACACAAAAATGACTCAGCCTGCAACTGAAATATGGATGGAGGACCTCAGTTTAGCTTGTTTGTTGCGCTAGTGCTGATCTAATACATATAAGGCAATATAGCGTCGGCGCTAGCGCAAAGGCTAACAAGGCTAAGCTAGGTTCTTCTTCCATGAAGCAGCTCTGTTGTCCTCCATCTATATTTTCAGTTACAAGCTGAGTCATTTCTACCTTCTCCTCTCTGTCAACGCTCTCTGGTTTCATTTAAAAGAGTCRATCATCAGATATTGTCCAAGATTAACCTTCAGGGTGGATATAGCTCGTTCACACCGCTGACCTATCCACGTCATCATTTACCCAGAATGCTTTGCGTGTAAATAAAATGGCCCTGTGTTAAAATATATTTTTAAAAATTTACAAAACTAAACAGCCTACAGTATTTTTAGTCTTTCTTTTACAGTTAAAATAAATGTTTATCAAATAAAGTCTAATGTTAATTGTGGATCCCTTTAACAATCTTTTAGATTTTATCAGATTATATGAAACATAATTTTATAAAAGTGTTTTTCTTAAACTTCAATACCTGTCAGACAACTTTAGGATCTGATGAGTTGGATTCTTTCGTACATTTAGATAAAGCAGTGTTAAATTGAAACTTGGTGAAATTTGGTCCTATAAAAAGGACCAAAGGAACTCTACAAAGGACCATATTTGGCCCAGGGACCACTTGTTGAATAGGCCTGAGTGTGCTTATCTTTGCAGCATTTTGCTTTCAAGTTAGTTTTAAATTGTGCAGAGCAGCAGCTGTTGAGGAAATACAGTATTACACTTGTCTCTGCTCAGACCTGCTCAGATTCTTTGTGGAATAGATCCTACAAGATGTTGAAAACATTACTCAGACATGTTGGTCCGTTTCGACATGTTAGCACCACGGAGTTCTTGCAGAGATGCTCGACTGGTAGCTGTGGAGACTGCTGGGAGTCCAGTGAACTCACCAGACCAGACATTATGTTCCAATCTCTTAATGTTCAATTATTTTGGTGACTTTGTGTGAAGCGTTACCTGAGTTCGTAGCTGAAAGGAGTGGCAGCCGGTGCGGTCTTCTGCTGCTGGAGCTCATCTGCTTCAATGTGTTGTTTGTTCAGAGATGTTCTGCAGACCTCAGTGGGAACGAGTGGTTATTTGAGCTTTTCTGATGTCTCAAACCAGTCTGACCTCTGACTTTTGAAATACGCAGCCCAACTTGTCAGACAACCAACCATGTTACATTCAGGGTTACTTAAATCTCAGTGCTCCCCCATTGTGATGCCTGGTCTGAACCATAGCAAGTCATYTTCACCACATCTACAGACATAAAGCTGCTGATTTGCAATTTGTACAACAATCACTTCAACAGGTGTGTCTGATAAAGCAGCAGGTGAGAGTAAATGCTCTACAGTCCAGAGAGGAGCTTCAATTTTATAGAACAGTGGTGGGCAGCACTAATMTAAAATTTAGTTGCACTAACCCTAAAGCACTAACTTTAATATTTAGGTACCCTTTAAGCACTAACACGCTTAAAAATTTAGCAAAAGCTAACTCTAAAGCCCTAAAATCCAAGCTGACCCACGGAACATTCTTCAGTGTTAACATGAGACAATATTTTCTATGTGCAGAATATTAATATTTCACCTCATCTAGTGGTTCCCAAAGTTGGGGTCAGGACCTTTGTGGGTCACAAAACATCAAGTGAGCGTTCCCAGACGATTTCCAGACGTCAATTAAATTTAAATGCAAAAAATGCGATTAGAATATTTTCATCAGAATTTTTGCAATTTTTTTAAATAATCATAATGAATAAAAATTAGTATCATAGTTACTATGTTTGTTTATAGTTATTATTCCCATGTTTAACAGAATTATTAGCAAAGTTTGCTATGTAAACAAGTAATATCTGGGGTCACGAGTGTCTGCAACTGTTATTTGTGGGTCGGAGGCAAAAAGATTAGAAAACCACTGATCTAGTGACCAACGCGTCTGACAGCTTTCACCCTCAGCTGTTAACAATGCTGATCAATAACATTAAAAAAACTAAATTAGTGCGTATRAATTTAGCAAGTGCTAATCCACCAATAAATTAAGAAATTAGTAAAAGCCCTAAAGCACTAATCAGAAAATTAGTTCCCCTATTAGTGCTTTAGTGGAACTGTGCCTACAACAGGAACTAAAATACAGGAAGGAATAAAATGTCCAGCTGTATTCAATAATTTATAATATACTAAAATGTAAAAAAAATATTCTCTCTCCAGAAAGCAAGATATTTTATTCAAGCCCCTTTGTTACAACTGCAGGAACCGAGGCCAAGACACAGATTGTCAGAGTCAAAATTTATCACAAAACTCAGCAGGGGTGGKACAGGGGAAGTATCCTGACTTATTGAGGCTTTGTGACAGAGAAGCGTAACTTATGTGTTGACTTAGTCAGTAGATGTTATGAAGGTAACTTGTTCTGCTTTGTTACTACACGGAGGTGTTATATGGTGCAGAGGATACTATGTGATAAAAGTATGATGCAGTCAAAACATGGTGCTCGGTGTGTAAATAGAAAATAAAGATAACAGAAGTTTGTTATGATCTCAGATAAAGTTCAGGTTAAAGTCTGGTTTTCAGTGTTCTACCTTCATAAAATACTGATTGTAGGTTGTTTTATTAATCCTAATAATTTAGTAAAATAATATCAAAGGCAAAAAGAGATAATTTGGTATGTAAATTGGGTGTGAGATTTAGAAAATTGCACAAGGGTGCACCACCTGAAATCTCACCCAGGGCACCAAATTGGCTAAACCCAGCCCTGCCGAACAGTAGAGTACCGAGGAGTGATGAGAAATATTAAAAGGTTCAGGTGCAATTACTTAACGAGGGTCATCACGTAACTATAAAAGCTATAAAACACACCTGGTGGACCAAAAATAATAAATCAAATTAAATTCTTTTGCATAATAAAAGCACAGCACACGGCAATAAGAAGGACAAACATACAAAACAAGAACAAAACTTTATTTAATTTGTTCCCCACTTGTGTTAATCGAGATCATTGAACCACATTCATCAGATGGAGACGCAACTCAGAGGTGCACAACAGAAAGGCACAGAAGTGTCAGAGCGACCGAACACACAGCCAGGGAACATGAGTGAAACCACAGGATTTAGTGAACTTCATGTTTGAAAGGTTAATGCCTCATGTAGATTAAGCATTTCATTACTGTTATTAATGTAAAAAGGCTGATCACAGTGCGAGACTAAAATGACCGTGAAATGTCAAAGAATTACAAAGAAACAGCACGATTATTTACCAAAAGTCCTCATACAAGAAAATAGGTTTTCGATTTTAATATCTCCAGACATAAGCCTCATGCATTTCCAAAATAAAATAAAATAAATTAAAATAAAAACCTGGTCCCTTTGCTGGTAAAGTGTCTGTTATTGTCCCTTTCATCAAGCTACAATTAAGTTTGTGCAACAAGTTTAGTTCAGCTGTTGTTTCAAGTTATGATAAAGAATCAATGAAAAGCAGATTTTTTTATGAAGTGGCATTGTTATTATTATTATTAGCTTGCCCATACATTCGTGTCATAAAAAAATCGATGCCATTCGTTCTATACAAGAGATTAATTTACATGTCTGTTATTGTACAGCACAGGAAGTGAGAGTAAAAAGCCTCTCTGGGTTGGGAGAGAAGGGAGGAGGCGGAGGGCTATTCACAGCGATAAATCTAGTTTTATAAGACATGCAATTTATAATGAAACTRTTCAGTTATGAATCAAATACTTTGGTACTTGATTCAGTTGTTGGCGCCGGAAAAACAACTAAAGGAAAACGGCTGAAATTCGGATGTGAGGAAGAAGCCAAAAGTTATTGCAGGAAGACGCTGCCAAAGTAGGGGAAAAGTGAAAATTAAATTCTGGGAATGTTTTGGATGTGCGGACAAGCCGAGTGAGATGTTTTTTTTAAAGAGCTGAGAGGACGAGGGGGGAAAGGGAATAAAGAGGAGTGTGGGTTGGACTAAACAGACTGGTAGCCGGTGCGACTCTTCCGACGACCAATCAGGTAGGAAATGAGCACGAGGATGATTAGGAAGCTGAGCGCCACGCCCACGGCAATGGGCACCAAAAAGCTCAAATCAGCGTCCAGGAAGCATTCCTCAGCTGACATAAAGAGACAGACAGACACCAATTAGTGATTCAGCAGAAACAGGAGGTGGAGGTTAGAAAACAAACAGGTTAGGGGAAAAAGAAGCTGAAAGTAGCAGGAAAGAGACCAGAACCTACAAGAAAATCAGGGGTTTTAATAAGAAAAACACAAAAACAGACAAATTAAAAGGTGAATGCAATTACTTAATTATAAATTTTCTAATTAATTTGGAGAAATTCTTCCTGATGAGAATAAAACATGTCTATGTTGGTTTAGTTCAACAAAATGGTCAGCAGAGCTTAAAATCTGGAAACATTTTCAAAGCAAACACACAAAAAACAAGGAAATTTGTGTTTTGGAGACCATTTTCTGTAATAATGCTTCTTAGTAATAAATCTTATTTCTGACACTTGATTGGCACAAAACTCAACAAATCTAMTCCTGACAAACCAGGACACCCCTAAAGTCTGGTATACGTTTTAAAAACATCTTAATCTTTGTGGATTAGTTCATTAATGGAGGTTAATGAGAACCTGGTGAAGTCCTTTCTTYTTGTTTCCAGTTTTTATGCAAAGCAGACCAGCTGTTTGAAGTTTCTGTCAACTCACCCTCCAACAAATATAAGCACTCCCAAACATTACTTAGCCACCACTGAACACCGCATTGAAACACCTTTTTTGTTTTGACAGTTGGTTAAAAAAAAGTTGCAAGACAACARGCAGCGATTATCCCTTGTTAAAGAGAAAGCTCTGAACGAGGAGAGTAAAATCAGAAGGATTGGTAGCCGGAAGCCATGTTTCTCCTCCTCCCGATGAAATAGGCCACCACAACAATAAGTATGAGAATAACCAGGGCAACTCCGACAGCTATGGGGACAACGTAGCTTTCAGCCTCGGCCTGGCAGTCCACCGCTAGATGATAGTGAAGAGAGCACAGAAGAAAACGTCTGACTTGATAACAAAATATAGATTTTCTCTTTAAGAAAACAGAACAAAAAGGGAATGCAAAAATACTTAAAAGACAAAACGTATGCAACAACATGGATCCCATTTTTTAAACTTTTTTTTTATTTCCATTGAAAATACTATAAAGCTTCAATCACACAAACTGAGTTTCAAATAATTTTAGCTGACAGGAAGCGGGAGTGCAGATAAAAATCAGCTGTCTGCATATAACGCAGTAACTGAGATGGTCCTGCAGCACCAAGTCCCTTTAAATCAACACGTGCAATTATTCCCCAAACAAGGAGGTGAATTAATTAATGAGGCAAACTCTTTACATGTTATGACAAGCCTGTCAGATTTATAAAATCTTAGTGGTGCTGCAAAACCATCTTCATTTAATTAAGGCAAGTTTTACAAAGCTGAAATACAAGAAGACGGCAACAATCATGAACAAAACAAAAGAAAAAAAATCTAATTTCTTATTTGATTATGAGCAAGAATCAGTCATACAGTAACCTGTGGAAGCAAATCTGATCAGAAAATTAAAAATGCAAAGTGCAAATAGTACACAGCACTCTGCTAGAATTAATAAACAGCTACCACTTTATCATTATTTAAATACAGCCTGAAGCTCGCCGATCACAACACTCTGCTCCAACTCCCTGACTTCATCCTGAACGCTTCTTTTAATAAACAATCGACTCAGAGGTGAAAAACAAAAACAATCCTTTCTACAAACATTTTTTGAGACTGTATCACACACACACACACACACACACACACACACACACACACACACACACACACAGAGCACCTGAAGTCAGGAGAATAAAACCTGCTGACAGATGTTCAGTTGTAAGCTTGAAAAATTCAATAAAACTCACAGGAACTTAGCTCTGATATCTGAACTTTTAAAGAAATTAAAAACAGATTTATTATGTTTTTTATTATTATCTTTTTAGGGAATGTTCTTTTTTTGCACAGATAAAGGCATCCAAAGACAAGTATATGGAGCCAAATTGGGGCCAAAAAATATAAATTAATTTTTTGAAAGTATTTTTTTGAAAAAAGCCTTTGAAAATGAAAAATGTTGCATATTTTTGATTACATGATACAATGGCCTGCCATACATATTTAATTGCCGGTACATAATACAAATGACTTGTCATAACCTTATTAATTACATGATGCAACAGCCTACCATATTTTTGATTATATGACACTACGGCCTGCCACACATTTGAATATATGACACAACGGCCAGCCATGTGTTGTTAATTTTATGATATAAAGCCTGCAATATTTTTAAATTACATGATGCAACAGCCTGCCATACTTGCTAATCATATGATACAATGGCATGCCATATATTGATACAAGTAATTTTTCACTATCAGTTTAAAAACCTTTTTCCTAGATCCAAAATGTTGTCTGTCAGTTTCAAAAAACATTTTTAAACAAACTTTATTGCCCCAATTTAGCTCCACGCAGTCGGCTGTTTCATATTTCAACACAGCCACACTCCCTGTTTCCAGTTTTTGTGTTGAGCAGCAGCTACGTAGCTCCAAGATAGAACTGAATTTCACAACTAAAAAGTGGCGTTTTTTTTTTTAAATCGGTCTTTGTTTAAGAAAGCATGTTAAACTTCTCCTGTGGTTAACTCCTGCAAACATCTAAAGAAAAGGTTTGACATCAACTTTAACTTCCCTTCCTTCCTTGTGAAGCCCAGACACGTACACAAGACAACAAGCTGGACATTAAAGTCTATTAGTGCATTTGCATGAAAATATTCTGCTTTCAGAATTATGTGCTGAAAGCAAATAATTACTGAATAGTCTTGTCCCTTTTTCTAAACCTAATGCCAAAAAGTATTCCAGCAGAAATTTCTCTGGCGTGTGCGCAAATATAGGAAAACCCACACAGATGAATTTCATAAAGCTAATGATGGTGTCGTTATGTGGAGTTTGGTAACGCAAAATGAGCCACAGAGATTATTAGTTTCATCTGGACTTATCTGTCTGCCGTAGAGGGATAAAGAGTGATCTGAGGTCACACTCAAAATATGATTGGAGTCACAAGGTTGGGTAAAATCCCAATGTTTCTCCTGGTCTACAGGGGCAAACATGGGCTTAAAAAAACAACAAAACAACATTTTTAGACAACTTATCAAAATAAAGCAGACATTCATCAACAAATTTCAAAGGAACAAAGGAAAAAAAGCTGCTTGATTGTTTAGCTTTCATCTGTGACAAAAGTGGTGTTAGAACATTTGAATACATCTCAATGTGACGATGAAAAGTCAAATCATAAATGTGCTTAAAGGATAAATGACAACAAAGCAAACAAAAAGAGGGCGAACGTCTGCTGAGCAAATGCAGGATCCTAAAACTGCCAATCGTGTGGGAGAGAGTGGGGAAATAAAGCATAAATCCATAAATGTCATGGATTTTCTGTACCTGAACATTAATGCACACTGAAAATAATTTTAATGYATTAACTACAATGTTTGAGATTTGCTTTGCAGGGTCTTGCACTTGCCCATTAACAAAAAGCACAATAAGGGAAGACAAAACTTACAGGGAAGGGGRAAAAAGGATAGGCAAGTTTGGTCCTCGAAAAGAACAGCTAATCATCCTCTTTTTATACAGATTTATTCCATTTKTAAACATTAGAAATCCCAAAGAGAAACACTGTTTGGACCAAATAAACTCAGATTTAASATCGCCAGATAATAAAATTTATGCCGTCAAGTTCATAAAATTAYATCTTGAGTTTTTATGTGCCAATTAAACTACTGTACATAAAAGCCGAGGACCAGACTTGGAAATCCAATGACATTTCAGGAAAACAGCAAAAAAAAACTGAATTTAAAGGGTCTGATATCCAGCATGGGTCTTTCTTCGACCAATCACGTAAGCGATCACTACAATGAGAATCAAGCCAGCCAGAGCAGCGCCAACAATGATTGGGATTAAGATGCTGGGGTCATCCAATGAACATTCATAGGCTGCAGATAAAAAGAGAGTCAGTCAAACTGGTTGAACTGAGATTTTCTAACTGAGATAAGACTGAAGCAACAGAAAAAAAACTACTTCATTTGCCTTTTTCAACAGCTGGCCTGGCCCTTTTTTATTATTAATTATATACAATAAATCCTTCAGTGGTGGGCACAGTTCTGCTTATCTGCTAATAGCGGAACTAGCATCTCATTTAGGGTATTAGYTTTTTTGATAACTTTGGAAACTGTTAGCAGACTAATAGCTTCTGCTAAATTGGGTTCCGCTAATTTCAAGTCCCCTAAAAACTTCACAGGTGTAAAACTTATATTTTTATGCAATTTATCCCAAATTAAACATAAACTACTCCTCTTACAAGCAGTGCTGGACATGCCTGGCACCATGTGTGTAGCMTCTTTAGCAACTAAACTACAAACTAAGAGCATCAAAAAGAAATAAAACAACATTTAACAATATTTAAACAACAAATACAAAAACCGACTACATATAAAATATGGTAGAGAAAGTGTTTGTTATTTGTTGTTGGACTAACGTCAAACTATTTTTAAAAATAACACAAACACTTGTGTTACTTTTTTTTTTACTTTTATTCTGAAAGGGGTAAACTGGACGTAGGTCTATTACAAAATAAACAGAGCTATAACTCTGGTTAGGATTGGCTGATCCCACCCACCTTCAAATTAAACCAATAGAATCAAAATAACAGGTTAGCTTCAGTCCCACCAGTCTTCAACTGGAAGGAGATGAAGACGTGTGACACAGGCTGAGTGACAGTCGTCTTAGCGGTTAGCATTAGCATCCACTAATTGTAGCAGATTAGTGGTTCGTGAACCTCATTAGCTGTGCCCACCACTGAAATTCCCCATGTTTTTAAATCAAATATAAGCCTGTTTGTGTTTTCTGTCTATACAATCCTTAAGTGCCTCACTTTTAAAAGGCACTTTCCAAACACTGCCCACAATAATTTCCTACTGATCTGAAAACAAAACAGTTTCCTGGAAAATATTTAATTACACATGGTTTGTAAAGGTTCTGAGCCAAACCAAATAAAATCCCCACTTCCTCACTTCAACTTCTCTGTAACCACACCCTGTTCCCATCWAACCCTGACAATAAATAATACAACACAACATCTGAAAGAAATGGCTTACCTGTACTGAAAACGCCCTTCTGCACCCCAAAGGGTTGCACTCGCAGGTTGAAGGTGTAGAGGCTGAGCTGGTCCGTGATGGTGGAGTTCTGCTCCTTGTTGCACATGTAGGAGCTGCCGATGTTCGTCTCCCACAGACTCAGGTTGGTTTTCACCTCATTGAAACCTTAAAAACACAAGTCAACATTTATTTTAAGAGTCAGTCAGGCCTGTGGTTTATAAAAGCAGATATGACTCTTCTATTTACCAAAGCCAGCATTGACTGTGACRTTCAGAGTATGTAGGTGGAATTTCTTTGTGTCCTGCAAAAAACAGAACAAAACAAAACAAAAAAAACCAAGTTTAGAAACACTATTGTAACTTTATAATAAATGAATGGTTCACTTTTCTTTTCTGTGTGACAAAAATATACTGTTAGTGAACACTTTGTATTTTGGAACTTCTCTAAGAAGTGACAAAAACTGGATGCGTTTACCCTATACACAGTAACCATTAATCTGTCCCGCTTTGCCTAGATTAAAAAGTTACTCGTTGAAAAATATGCAAACATAAAAATATTATAAGGAACTTTCATTAATGCTGTAGCTTGAAAGATGACTGCAGTAGATTTTTCCTGATTTGTTGATGAGTAACTTAATGTTTACAAAACATTCAGCTAAATCTGCTAAAAACCACAGGAAAGTTTTAGCCATGTGATTAACCTATAAATAAGGTGAGATGGGACGAGCGTGAAAGTTTCAGAGAAACATTTCAGGTGTAAATAAGAGCAAGTCAAGAAATAACATTTCACAAGCAAATCTACGACAGCAGATGACTTACGTTGAAAAATGTGAAAGTTACGATCATCTCCTCAGACTCCAGCATGAGCTCACTGCTGTCGAATCCACAGCTCCCAAAAACGTTCGCCCCAACAGGGTTAAAGTTCATCTCATGGTACTTCTAAGACAAACAGAAAGGTTTTTTTCTAAAACATCAGTATGTTATCAAAAATAATCTCTGTACAAATGATAAAAGGCCCAACATTCCTTGAATGAACGCATCGCCTGCCACCTTTCATAATAAAGATCATCTAATTGTTAGGAAATGATGGAGTTGTGATCATTTTGGTTAGGATATGTTGCGACTCCCAGCCACACAAATTACAGCAATTGTATTTTTTTGTAAAGCCAGTAGGCTGTGGTGGCCATCTTGATTTGAGCTGGCTCTAAAAGGCCCAATCCCACTGCTCAGTGCGCACCCTACACCGCTCTGTGAAGTGTGGATTCAGTCCAAGTGCACAAAAGTGTTCGAGTGTGCAGGTTACAAGCGTGCAAAACAATTGAGAACTGGGACAGTACAGATTACATCATCAAACACCAGTGGCTACCAGTCGCTGTTAGGCCAAATTTCATTTATATAAAAGCAAATTTCATTTATATAAAAGCAAATGTTTTAAAAAAAGAAATGTTATCTCCTTCATGATTAAGTTTACACAATATATGCAATCTACTCACTTCTCTAATAATCAGAAGGCAAAAAAAATTACAATGTCTTGTTCACTTTTTCAAATTCCTGATTTAATTTTGTAGAGATTGGTTCTTTTTTGTGGTGTAATCATTTTATTTAATGTTTGTTTGTTTATTTATTATTATTATTATTATATTTTTTTCCCTCTTTTTTCATTTATAGTTCTTCATTCGCCCGGCAGCATTGTTATGTTTTGTTCCATGTTCGAATGTTCAATAAAAGTGTAGGGAAAAAAAAAGATGGTCGCTGTTTTGGCAGCAATGAATTGTGGGTACTACACTTCACCGAAGTCCGTAAAAATGCAAACTTCGCAGAAGGGTGGAAATAGTTCCCAAAATGGGCGGGGCGAAGGGTGAATGTGGAGAATGTGGGACACTACGCACTCAAACCCTTCAACATGAACGCGCCCACCCTCACGAGGAACGAGGGTGGGAGTGCGGGTATTGGGTCAGGGCCAAAGTTACTCATTAGAGGTAAATGGTAAAGCTGTAGCCATTTTTGTTGTTTTTGAAGGTCAGGTCAGTGGCAGCCATCTTGAACTGCGTTTCCAAAAGTTAGGCAGTTGTCTTCAAGTTTTATCAAAACATATCCAGTCAAACACGCGCACAACCCAAACATCTTAATAGTGGCGAATTATTTAAAAATAAAAATCTCATGTCGTCATAATTCTGTACTCATGAGTGTACCTGGTTAAGTTTGAAACCAATCCGGAGGCCAAAGTTGGCCAACAGACAGACTGAGGCGTTGGATTCAACACTGTAGTTCCCAGTTTGAGGAGTGGGGAGGGGAGTTGGCGGGGTGGTGGGCGTCGGGGCAGCAGTGGTCGTGCTGGGTGAAGTAGGAATTACAGGTTGATCCGCAGCACAAACGGTTACTGTTTGAGAAGAAAACAGGGAAACGAAGCATCAGAAGCAGACCTGTGGGAGAAATGTTTTGTGAAGGAGACACATCTGTACTCACTGTTCTCACTCATGCTCCCATTAATGACAAAAGCCTGTATGAGTACGTTTGACAGCGTCATGTTGACCTGATCAGCYGAGATCATCTCGTTACTATTACAGGAGTAGCAGGTGTTCAACTCAACATCAGTAATGCTGGCATTCCGAGACACATTCATAGTTTCTACAAGTAAAAACAAACAAACAAAATAAATGAGTCAAAAGACTGTTCGTCATTGTATTTCTAACCATTTTAATATAAGGTTATGGAAAAATGAATTACTGTTAGATGAAGCGCCAGGAAAGTAACTGGTGTCGCTGAGGTTGTAAATAAAAGTTACCAGGCCTGCATGGTAACTTTCCCCATTCTTGATGAAGTTAATAGACCAGGAGTGTCCAGCTCCAAAATTAAGCTTCAGGGTCGAACTGTTGTCGTGACACTCACTACCGTCTGTCGTGGCATTTTCAGGAAGTTTGAACGAGTTAGTGTGAATCTGAAAAAAAGAGCAAAAAATCAAAATCAAAGTTGATAAAAAAATTTATTCAAAACAAGCATATAAAAATTCAATATAACAATATTGTACAAACTGTTTAGATATGAGTAAAATGGCTTAGAAGGACAGAACATGAGCAAGTTTTGACGTCCTGTCTCCTAATAAACATAATGGGGAAAAATATCAGTTCCATGTTTTAGAAACTATATTTAAGCAGTAAAAACACAACTAGTTATTTATGTTCAGTCCACAGACATTAGTGCCATTTCTATCAACAATTACTGGAAGATCAAAAGATTACCATTTCTTATAGTTATCATTAGAGGAMGGAATTTACTTCTCAACAAGAATTAAGTGACAATTTCAATATTTTTCCATAAGAAGCCAAAATAAGCACTTTAGTGTCCAGTACTGTCAACAATAATTAGCAGTGTATAATTAGTTTGTCATTTGATGTTTTCTATTGAATAAATTTAACATTGAGTTTTTTWAATTAACATTTAAACATTATATTTAGATTCATGTTCAGTAAAATTGATTTGTATCAAATTTTTATACTGAGCTGATTTATGAGACTGTAAACCTAGTTGGTAGTATTAATTTTGTTTTATATTCTGTATATATTATGTATTTACTCTCCTAGAGGATGTAAATGGATATTAGTCATTTTCTCAATCTAGTTTATGGAGCTGCCTCTTTGGCATGTGTTTCTATTGTGCATAATCCCAAATAAAATTAAGAATAAAACACTTTAACTCCAATGTGACGGACCACATCAATGGCTGTTGTTTTTAAAACCTAAAGCATACAAAAAAAATTATTTACATCTTGTAGTTTTTATATAATTTCCCTAACATTTGACAAGTATAAGACAAACAAAGAAACAAAACACATGACCTAACAATTGAAGGAAACGAATCAGGAAAACACACCAAATAAAATCCTGAGTAATGAGAATCTGCCCAACTTTGTCATGACTCTGCCATTTCCCCTTTTTTTATGGCAACATTTCCTCAGTGGTAATGTGACAGTCACGTTACTCAGATTTCCCGGTTGAAGTCGAGTTAACACATTTCAACAGCAGACCAATGTGTCAAACAGCATTTAGTGTGAGTAGACACTTACCGTTTGGTTGCCTTCGTAGGAAACTGTGAAGTTGAGCTGTAACTTGGCGTAGAGACATAGTTTGTCCTTATCTGTGACATTCACCTCAATGCCATGAGACTGGTGGAACACTGAAAAGACAAACACAGCTTTTGTTGTACAAAGTTGAATTAAAAAATATATAAAAGAGTTCAAGGTCAAATTTTGGATTTTTTTCTTCACCTAAAAACACTAAAAGGTTATTTTATGCGTTAGCCGTGTCTCTTTCCTCTTTTAGAGGGTGTTAAAGGAGCTGAAGCGATTATCAGCTGAGAGAGAGCGAGATAAGTTGATCCTTACAGGTCAACAGTCAACGCAGGGCAGACACATATTTATGTTAACATTTATAATTATGATAATATTTAATGCATGAGAAGACCTCCAGGGTTACAGTCAAAACAAATTAGAAGATTCAAAATATACGCGGAGGACCTTAATCAAGTGTGATAAAACTGGTCTTCACAATGTGAAATGTTAAAATTGTATTAACGTGTATCCTAGCTTATCCTGCACATTACAACACAGGTGGAATCAGAACTCCATTAACTTGTTTTGACTGAATAACAGCGTACAGTTTAACAGACCAGGCAAAGTCCATTTAGATTACTGATAAGGTTTTAACACTACATGCCTTGTCATCAACTCTGATGTCTACTAGAACCTTTTAAGAAAAAAAATATGTAGGCGAAGCTGTACAAATGTTTGACCTTTCTTGAAAAAAATAAAGAGAAGCCATGATGAGACACTGATTTCCGTGGACAAAAGTCACAGACAAGCCTAAAATCACATGACACATCACCCGAAAAGCTACATATGTCCATCACAACATGGTTGTTTTTAATCAGCATAATCACCTTTAGGTATGGCTTTAATAACAAAAATAAACCCTAATTTAAATTGTTTGTTTTAAAACCACAGTGCTGCGTTGTGATTTCACTGTCACGTGCCAATTTACAGTAAACTGCCCTGTGACGCTAATGTGTTAGCCCAGCTAGCCTAACCATTTGATCTCTTTACAGAATTAGAAACAGAGTTCAAAGCTTTTTCTTGTTGTATTTGCAGCTACTGTGAATTAGCAGCAGAAACAGCTTACTTCGCCCAAGACTTTACGTATAATTCGCGTTAAAATGAGCAAAGATTGGGAAAAAAAAAAAACAGCTAATAGCTAAGTTAGCTAATAGCTGCCCAAAACGTTTGTCTATTGCTAGCGTTGTTGTTTAATCGTCTATTTGAGTTGACATACAAGTCCATAGTAGTTTAGCTTGTAATATGTTGAACGCATAAAGAGCTGTTCTTTAGGTAAATTATTTTTTAATGCTAACAGGCACAGACGGTTTTCACTTTGACGCAGGTAACAATTAGCGTCGCAGCTAAAAAGCAGCAAAACATCACGACTGCGGCTTTTCTGTGATCAAGAGCTGCAGATAAATCCGTTTGAGTTCCTCCACAAAAGCACAAATGCTTGTACGATTTAACACCAGTGAAAAATAATTTTGATACTTTTATATTCTCCAGAGTAGCATTAACCCGTAAGCGGCGTCGGGCCCAGACTTTACCAGAACTTTACCGCGTCACTTCTCCGAAAACAGACCCAACTTAAAAAAACAAATAAAAAATAAAAACCTACAACCGTGCCGTGATACATACCGACTCCCACAAAAAGGAGAAAAGCGAATGCAGCGAATCGGTACATGACAGCCGTGAGTTGAGGTTTTGACAGAAAATGAACGCAGAAAAACGATTCGAGCTGCAGACGAGACGAGTCCAACTGAAGCAGGAAGTCATATGACCGAAGTGTCAAACCCCGGAGAGGCGTGGCCAGCAGTAAATCTTCTTCTTCTTCTGTTAATTATTGCATGTTGCATGCCAAAGCTCAGAACCAACGTCTCCAGGCTGTGATAAATATGTTTTACTAAAAACCCTGCATGAAAACACAATGGTGTGTATTTAAATTAAAAATAAAAACCCGACTGAAAGAGTTCTTTTAATGTTAAGCAATAAATCTAACAAACTCATACAAACAAAGAAAAGTATATCCCCTCTGGTGTTGAGGCTGTAGTCCCCTTCCACTTCTCAGCACAGTCTAGGCCTGAACGGACTTCCAAAAGAAAAAAACCTGTGCATTTTATAACAATGGCTCCTAACAGTGATGCACTTTAAAAAACACTTAAACCTGTTGACAGATTGGTGATTTAAAATGACACAATTATAATGAACAACAAAGAATATTGTATGCGAATACTTGAACTGAACTGGTTTAGCAGCTTGAAAACAACTTTAAACAAAAGTAGTGCCCTCTTTTGGCACAAATACATATATTTTTTGTATAACTTGTGTTCATGATCACAGTTTTTAAACCATATGGCCTCCATGGCCTTTTAAAACTGCGGTGGGTCACACAATAAACACATATTCCCTCTAACTATTAACTAATTGTCAGCTGTGAAGATTAGCCCAGCAGTTCCACATTCAACAATGACTGAAGTAACAAGAATCAGTTTAATATTTAGTTTTTTTTTTCCTTTCAAACATGTGATACATTTAGAGCATTGATGGGTGTGTCTGCATTAGCTTGGGATACTGGATGAACAAAAAGTGGGAAAAAAGATTTAAAAACAAAGAGCATGTTGATTTAAACTATGGAAAAAGGATCTAAGTCAGAAAATAAATATTTTTCTCCTCCATTAAAAAAAAGGAGCAAACTGAACTGTGTGTCTTCTTTGTCCCAACTCTCTCCGAGGCACTGAGAAATATGGGTGATATTCTCTTCTATGGGCATGCAGTCCACAGGATCAGAAGACCCCTGACGAAAACCCTGTGGAGCAGTAGCCATTCAATGGTCGGTCGTCGGGTTGGAGATGATAATGGTTAACATCCACAGGGTGGGGGTGGGGGTGGGGGGCAGGAGATTTGGAGACCGATCACTCAGAACACCTTTTGAGCTAACTGAACCAACGGCGTTACTTTCCCCTCATTCTAGGCCACATAGTTGTACTGGTTGGAGTTTTCCTTGTCGCGCTCCATATAGTCCCTGTCAATAAGAGACTCTATCCTCTTCTTTAGGTCAGCAGGCTGAAAGAGAGGAGGACAGAGAGMTATAAGTTAGCATGTGACCAAAAAGTTACTCTCAGGTGTTAAAAAGGTCTCCACTTTCCCAAAACCTATTCCGCTAAATTACTCAAGGGGGCAGTTACTAAAAACCAGCAGCTCAGGGGCCAAACATCCTGCAAATAATGTCATTATGTACATTTAATTTACAATGTTAAATCTAGTTTTTTTAAGTGCTTATGGCCAGATGGACTGACTTGTATATCACTTTTATAGATCATCTATAACGTGTCAAACTTAAGGCAAATGTCACCAGTCTTTTATGTCGCCTGCAAGAGCTTCAAAGATGTATTGATGTCTTAAAACAAGCTGATTTAAAGGAAGCATTGACCCTAAACTACATCTCCCATAATGTAGTTTTTTTTACACAAAAAAATGATGGCATCCCACCACTATATATAGGTGAACAGTGTTAAAAAGTAGCTAGCAGCCAGTGAAATTCACCAAGTAAAATCTTAATTTTGCTGGCTACTTTTGCTTTGGCCCAGTTGTACTAGGAAGTTGGAATTTCCCATACACAAGTCATAAATTTAAATTGGAATGTCCCTCTAGTGCAGAGGAGCCCAAAGTGGGGCCCGCGGGCCAAATTTAGCCCACCAAGCCATTTGATTTGGCCCACCAGCAGTTGAGTAGTTACTAGGCCTGTCGTTCTATGTAGAAACAGTATTTCCACTTAGTCATTTCATCCATTGACCCAGTGACTATATAAGGGACTGTAGTGCAGATAGTTTTCACTCGTGGTGTTGATTTTATCTTTGATTAAACATGAAGCATGAAATACAAAAAACAACAAGATTAGATTTAACCACACATGTAAGATTTTCACACTTTATAAGGCCACAAAAACTCATATTTTATCAATTTATTAAATGTCCCATGAGCTTTTACTACTTGAGGATATGGCAGACTTTCTCCAAGTTCACAAACTAAAACAAAAGCAGGCCACCACACTGGCTGCTAGCTTAATTGTTAAAAATGAAGGACTTTACTTAAAAAGCATGCATTTGGCCCACAGCCCCAAATACATTTTCATTTTGGCCCTCTTGAGGAAAATGTTTGGGCACCCTTGCTCTAGTGGGAATTCCCTGTGGGGAAGTGGGAGAGTTTAGAAATCAAGACAGCAGCTACTCACTACAACTCAACAGTGAGTAAAACTCTCTTATTTCTACTTTTAACAGTATTTCTGTATTATTTATTTCATTGAGTCAGTCGTACACATAGTACTTTTCAGAGTTTATAAGAGGATGTGTTAAAACACTGTTTCTAGGCGGGAAATACACAGAGCTCAGTTATTGTTTGTTAGCGGTGATCAGCCGCAGAAAAGAGACGAGGAATGTGACGTTTCGTGTTTTCAGTCAAAGTTAATTAAAACTGTTCGAGGGCCATAATAATGCTCATCTGGCCCTTGGTGAAAATGTGTGTCACACAGGATACAACAGGATTTTTAAAATATTTCTCTCACAGATTTTCTTTTTTGTCCAGGGTCTGGACACCTTGCAGTCAAGTGACTCGACCATGAACTCTTTTTTTTTTTACCCAATGATAGTCAAATGCGAGGACATCTGTGTGCCGTCAGAAATTAGGCTGAAACTGGGTCACGCAACAGGACAATGATCCAAAGAACAGCAGAAAATATTTAACAGTGACTATAAAAAGTGTGTCGAAACAAGTCAAAGTCCTGACCTCAAACTAAATACTGCAATAAGACACGAAAAGAGCTGTGCAGTGTGAGAAAATCTAAAGTAAGAAAGTAAAAAAGTAATACAGAAGATGGTTATTTCTAGTAGGTGCAGCTGTAAGAAATTCTACAAACTGGGTAACAAATACTTTCCTTTTTGTTGTCAAAAACATGCAAAATTTTACTGAAAGTGAGTTCATTCTGTGGTTGTAATTATAATATTTACATACCGTATAAGTACAATTAAAAAATATTTAATGTTGGACATTTATAGAATATGAAATATATTTCTCAGAACCAAAATTAATGTAACTTGTTTACAGTAAGTTCTTTCTATTGGACCATGTCAGTGTCAGATATGAGAACCACTGCTGACGACCACTTAATATAACAAGAAATTCTGGGTTTGTGAAGTTAAAATATTAATAAACGTCACTTCTTAAAGTCACAGGCCGATGTGTAAAATACTGTACCAAATCTAAGTAACCAATGAACCAAAGTCAGCTCATGAGCAGGGGTCAACATCAGGAACAGATGTGATTGTCATTCAGGTGACACTTCAGTGTTTTGTGATGCAGTCTAGTTAAAAAAGTTTAAATTATATGAGTGCATAATTATTTGGAGACAGCGCTGAGGTCTTACAACGAAGCAAGAATTATTCAAAAATGTCCTTGCGATACGTTTTCTCTATACATTTTATAATAATCGAGATAACTGTAAAAGCAATATCCTACTAAAATCCAAATAATCCTAACATCTAGTGTTCAACAGGTTTTAAATTCCAATAGGCACACTTTCTGTTTCTGGTATACTCTGGCTGCCGAAGCAATAGAGGATAATAAACCTTGCATCCCTGGTTCACCTCACGGTTACCGCTTTCATTTTCTGTTTTCCGCTGCTGCTGAACAGTAAAAATAAAAGAAATGAGGTTAAAAAAAATTATCACATATAATCGTCGTTACCTTTACAGGAAACTTGAGCTGGTTGTACACCTCAGACATCAAAAGATTATGGCTCAGAGTCTTCCTCATCTTCATTATCCGCACAATAGCAGCATCGATCTGGTACTGACGGTCCTGAAAGACCCGTTCTGTGGTGCTGGCTTGCTCCTCCACCTGAGGGTAAACATACAACTTTAAAGTCTCAGGTTGACAGCTCAGGAGTATTCATGTTATTGTTGTTTATTTGTTTTTTTACCGTCTCTTTCATCTGAATCTGGTTTATTTTGATCCTGAACAGCTTGTGTTTGAAGTCATCGTTGCAGGAGAACTTGTCCCCATCCTCCACGTCTTTGCTCTTGGGGATTTTGGTGAGCACCCGCGCTTTTCCACACGCGAGCGACTGCAACGTCCGACGCAGTTCGCTGTCCTCTGCGGACCAAAAGAGGGGACAAGTGGCGGTGAATTAAAAAAACGAAGCTTGTCTTTAATGAAAAATCAGTCTGCTCGGATACGACAGCAAACCTATGCCTGTGGCGAGTTTGATCTCCTCCAGCGTGAACTCCTCCCCTTCGTTGAACATCAGCAGCACTAGTGTTTGAAAAAGTGACACCTGTAGCTCCTTCTTGCCCTTTTAGAAAGGAAAATGAAAAAGAGTGAATGATTATAAACAARGCTTTATGGAGTAAAGTGAACAAACTTTGTTAGAAAATGTATGCAAACCTCTTTGAATTCAGCTTTTAGCACACAGTGACCTAACGTGGACTGCCACTGCAGCTTCCTGCCGCTGTGTTTGCCCAGGTAAAAAGTTTTGAAGATCTCCTGCAGCCGCACCATCTGGACAAAGATAAACACGAGGTGTAATAAAGGAACTCTGTGTATTTATAGCACGAGGTGGGTTATAAAAACGCCGTGTTCCAGAGCTGAATATTTGCTCAGTATTTACCTCAGCAGGAAGGTGGACTTCCATCGGGACGTAGGTCGGCCAGTAACCCATGGTGAGGATGTTCACCGTCAGCTCGATGTTGCCGGGGATGTCTTGGCACTGCATGTACTGCAGAAACACAGAAAAACTCTTTACAACTTTAACTTCTCTCCCTCTCGTGAGAGAATTCATTTCACGTTTGTAGCTAAAATAATCCTCCGTGTATGGTTCGTTCTTTGGGCTTTTAGTTTCAAAATAACATTGAAAAAAGAAAATGRTGTTTTTTTCTGTTTTTAAAACCTAAATATAGAAATATAAAATCAAACTAGCTGTGTTTGGTCTTTGTTTCATTGATC